TGTGTATCTGTGGTGAAAAACTCCAAATCTATCCAATAGATCATGTGAGCTCCTCATTTAACACAGAAAAGTAATGTTTTAAATAAAATGTTAAGATAAATCTTTGAGCGGTTGAGAATTTACTGATGCATAATCATGAATATATTTTCTCCAAGCAACATAGATTAATGCTTTCAGATCAAAACAGCCAAGGGACATGGGAAGACATTTATGTCCAAAGAGAGAAACTGTATTTCCCGCTACAACTATTTATCAATTTTTCTGCCAACAAAACTTGCCAACCAGTTTTTGAGCCTAGGATACAGATAAGTAATGTTATATAGAAAAATCATGTCTTCTGGGAAGATTTATTCAGGAAATTATTACCTATTGATAATATTTTATATGACAGACCCTTCACCCATATCTACACCTTACACGGATTACTCTCCAGCTGACGCTAACTATACTCTGTGTTCTGCAGTAGTCATTCTTAAAGTCTTCTCTAAAATCTGGGGATGGACATTACTTTTTAGAAGGAAGCTTTTGTACTTTTATTTTCACAGAAATAAAGTCTTTTTAAAAAAAATATACAAATTAGTAATGTGTATCTTGCAATCTTAAAAAAGCACTTGTATGGGACCAGCAGTTGGCATAATGGCTATGTCGCTGGACTCCCATGTAGTCGACCGCAGTTCGAATCCTGGACCCGGTGACTTAAACTCATGCCGGGCACATGTGCGTTTGTGCCCAAGATCCCGAGAGGAGAATGGAGGAGAAGGGATTGCAGCGTGGCCATCCCCCCTGGGGGGTGATTTCTCGCTTTCTGTCTCTCCGTCTCTCTCTGTCTGTCTGGCAAGCACACATGCCCTATAGCAAAAACCTCTCCAAAAAAAAAAAAAAAAGCACTTGTATTTTTTCTTACTTATATGTCTAATTAAAATTTTATTACCCTCTCATCTCAAAGTTTTACGAATAAAACCATCGAGATAGAAGTAAACCTAAAGTAGCCCTGCTCTATAGTGAGACCATCAAGACAGAATTGGATTCATTGCCATGGGTCCTACTATCCGAAACAGAATGAAACCTTATCTGAATGGTAATCAGATGAATTTTGGGATTTCTAATGATGAGACTGCTATCCTGGGGATTAGCAGATGGAGTAATGGTTACGTCGCTGGACTCCCACGTAGCTGACAGCAATCTGAGTGCCAGACCTAGTGACTTAAACTTTATGCTGGTGCGTGTGTGTGCATGCCCAAGATCCTGAGAGAGGAATGAAGGAGGGATTGCAGTGTGGCCACCTGCCTGGGGGGTGATTTCTCACTTTCTATCTCTCTGTCTCTCTCTGTCTCAGCAAAGAGTGCACACACCCTATAGCAAAACTCTCTCTCTTAAAACAAACAAACAAACAAAAACTGCTATCTTGTTGGGGGGGGTTAAGGGTTGAGGAAGTATAGTACAAAACAGTGGAAACTCTGGGAGGCTTCTAATCTCCTCAAGATTAGGAAGGGCAAAGGAGGGCCTCAAGGAAGCCTAAGGTACTGAAGAGATTGTGATTCTTCATATATTACTCACATAAGTGCAGTACTATAAATTGCAAAATGTAAAACATATATACATAAATCGAAAATAACTATCCAGATTTTTTTTGTTTATATAAGTGGGCTAAGTTTATTCAGCATGGAGCTTGCTTTGGTTTTTGGTATGGCCGCCTTTCTGATGCTACCTGAGCAATCCAGGATGAGCAAAGACATTGTTTTAACATTCATTTATCTGGCTCATCTCCCACCCCAATGCCTCGAACACAGTAGGTACTTGTAACACCTATTGTGGATGATGAAGAGGGATAGTGGTGGAAAAGTACTCTTCCCTAACTGACTAATTAGAATAAGCTGTCAACAAAGTTTCACCTCTTTAATGTCTTGCTGGACAAAAACTGACTATTCCCTTGGGGCCAGCAGGTGGTGTGGTAGTTAAGGATGCTGGACTCCCACGTGTCTGAGTGTGGTTCAAGTCCAGGACCTGGCGGCTTGCTTTCTCACTTTCCTTCTCTCTCGCTGTGTCCCTCTCTGGTCAAATTTAAATACAAAAATAAAGTTAAATAAAATAATTCCAGAATTAAAAACAACAACAACGACCTACTATTCTCAAATGTAAGTGATCAATACCTGTTGAAATTACCTTTCTGTAGGACCAGCAGTTAGTGTAATGGCTATGTCGCTGGACTCCCATGTAGTCGACCGCGGTTCGCGTCCCGAACCTGGTGGCTTAAAACTCCGGGCGCGTGTGCGTGCGTGCCCAAGATCCTGAGAGGAGAACGGAGGAGAAGGGATTGCAGTGTGGCCATCCCCCCTGGGGGGTGATTTCTCGCTTTCTATCTCTCTGTCTCTGTCTGGCGAGCGCATGCACCCTATAGCAAAAACCTCTCCGGGAACCAGCAATTAGTGTAATGGCTATGTCGCTGGACTCCCACGTAGTCGACCGCGGTTCGTGTCCCGGACCCAGTGGCTTAAAACTCACGCCGGGCGCGTGTGCGTGTGTGCCCAAGATCCCGAGAGGAGAATGGAGGAGAAGGGATTGCGGCGTGACCATCCCCCCTGGGGGGTGATTTCTCGCTTT